GCGCGGAGCTGAACACTGTCATCCCTGTGAACATTCGTGCTGAGGAAAATGAAGACGACGACGACAATGACGACGAGGATAGTGATATAATATCCTCCAAGTCCCAAATACGAATCTCTCCGCCGTGAGAGCTGACAGAGACAGCCTTCCCGCGCTCACTCACCTGCACGCCAGATACGGAGGACGTGTGACCCCAGAGACGACGACCGGTTTTGATCGTGAGAGCATTGGCGGTGGAGACGACTAGGTACATTGTCAACGTGTTGTCGGCGTGAGAGGTGAGGAGATATGGATGGCTGTACGAGATGGAGGTGGGCGGACGTGTGTAGGAGAGAGACGGGCTATGGGACACCGAGGAAGGTGTGGTGCTAATGGATTGAGCTTTTCTGTTATTTCTATGGATGGGGCTTGCAACGCTCATCATTTTGTTGTGATGAGTTTTGCCGGCGGTATTTAGTATCTTGGTCGAGAGGTTAAAGGGGTTAGCGCAGAATTGGATGTCGACAGTCGTTGCAAGTCGGGAACCTAGATTCTCGCCATCGTGGTTTAGCCGGAGTTCCTGTATCCCAACTGACCATCCGCAATCTATGCGGGAGAAGCTGTAGGCTATGGATGCGACGATTTCGGTCGCTAAGGACCGGATGGATAGAGAAAGTGGAGCGAATATGTTACTGGCTTTAAGGGAGGCAATTAATTTCGGCAACTCCGTGGTGTGCTCTCGTTCTTCCCTCTCCCTCTCCGAAGAACAAATTCGGTAGAGAGATAGCGTTTGGTTCTGGGATAACGTAAGGAGATAGGAGGATGAGGATGCAAGAGCAGTAATGGCCCCATTAGGCGATGTGGGATGTGAGAATCGGAAACAAAAACGTGCACTGTCACAGTTGAAATAATATACGTTGTAGCTCCCATCCTCGAACCCGACGGTCACATCGAAATCGCCTTCGGTGTCACCTCCTGGCGTCACGGCAATCGATGTGGGTGTGATACGGGGGCCGTCCCATTCTTTTACAGTAGAAAACGACAGTTTAGCCAGGCACAATTTCGTGTCCCCAGTAGTCCACGCGCGAAGCCCATTTCCCGCATCAGCCGTGAACACGACCCCTTTGCATAACTTCACTAATACCGGTGGGACCGATGGTGGTGCGACTTCGACTTCAGTGACCCGGCACGATCCCTTGGACCAGTTATGCCGCAGACGATACTGTTTCTTCCAATCGATATTTTCTAAATTTCTAGCTGAATGCTCAAGTCTAATCCATCTCGACGGCCTTGGGATGTAACCAGCCGGCTTGGAAGTGACGTTGGAAGCAAGGCCGGAGTCCTTGAGATGACGAATACGACGGGTCCGAGGCCACACCCAACGCGAGTAGTATTTCTGCTTCCATAGTTCCGAATCACCCGCGAGTCCATAAAATCGATGCGACAATCTGGGAAATTTGCATAGTGAATGTGAGATATGCTTGGTCATATAGCTATAAGAACACCCACAAACTACGAACATCGCACAACGAGGGAAAAACAATAAAGAAATGATATACCTCTGGCAAAAACCCAGCGACTGCGTAGGTAGAAAACTCAGGATATGAAGTATGAGTTCATCGCTCAGTCTTGAAAGGAGATCTTTCTTGCTGGAATCATCAGTACGCATTCGCTTCTCTGGGGCCGCATTTTCTGTTTGGAAGTCGTCAAGGCGCCGTTTTGTCATCTCGCGGGACGAAATATACTAAGGAAATCGCTATCCCATTCAAATATAAGTTCCCAACCTAAAACGATTCACCGCTGGAAGGTTGTGTTTGTGTTCATGTTGAGCAGGAAGTCGGCACATCGCCAAGCCCTTATCATCATGTGATTTTGTTATCAGTCCAACCCGACGCGTTCCGAGCGCGATGTCCAGAACCGTTGCTTTCAGGGCCAATTCTCTTCTTGTAGTATTCTTAATATATCCTTTCGGGTGGCCTTGACAACTATGAGCGACGGCTGTTTCCTTAATTATTACTACTGACACGGAAAGTCCTAATCTGATGGAGGAGACCGATTTCAGCAACCTTGCAGAGCAGGTTGGTGGACTAGTCAACCAATGTCGACAGTGGAAACAAAGGAATGCAGAGCTAGAAGTGAAGCTCGAGGAGCAGTCTAGGCGGATTCAAATTTTGGAAATGGAGAATTTAGACTTACAACGACACATCGAAACTGTCGAACCGAGTGACACGGCTGATGACCACAAGGAAAGGCTACTCGAAAACCGACAGCGATATGCTCCAAATTCGGTTATCCATGATTTCATGGGTAAAGAGGAGAAACCCGAGACTATTTCTTATGAGAATTATTCGAATCTAGCAAAGTGTTATGAACAACTTTTCCAAGAGAATGCTAGTTTGATTGAATCCTTTTTCACAGTGAAGAAGAAGCTGAAGAGCTGCAAAGGCAAGGCCACATCGTGGAAAAGCTGTGTCGAACGTGATGCATTTGAGGTTTATGTCCATGGAAAGAAAGTCCTTTTCCGGAGAGATGATACTATTGCAGCTCATTGTCCACTGAAACAACATCGTCCGGGGCAGAGGGAGTCGGCCTCAACGTCCGATAAACTTACAATCGGACCTCCGGATCAAATATGCCAACCCCATATGCAGGAACAAGGCCTTGTAGAGAGGAGTGCGGCTATTGCAACATTAGACAGAGACCAAGAACCCCAATCACCTGTCCTTCCTAGTTCGAAAACTCGAGCTAGAATGGCTCCAGGAGAATCGCCGCAGCAACCTTCCTCGGAGCTGGGCTCCTCGGATATAATGTCAACCCAAACCCAGGATCCCCGGTATGCTATCGAACCGTATATATTTCCAAGTTCACCCACCGTCGAAAACCCAATTTTCGTCTTATCGAGGCCAGTTAGAGGGAGGAAGAAGGAAAATCAACAACCAGTGGTAAATAATGCCAAAAACCACCGCGAGACGGGTAGTTTTACCACGCCTATTACTGTAAAGAGTGAGCCTATGTCAACTAGCCCTTTCGAGAGTACCCATAGCACAAACAATGACAATGATATTGAGGGCGATGGCGACGATGACTGCTTGGGCCTGAACACCAGCCAAAAAGACAACCATGGAATTACACAAAGGAAGCATGCTGTTGATCATCAACTTGTTCAACTGCCGGGCAACCACTTCCTTGTTTTTGATGAGAGTGAAGAGCCTGGAATAGGGTTACCAAGTCTAGGTGGGCGGCAATTAGCTGGAACCAAACACCGCTTGGCCCTTCAGCCAGTGAATACCAATGTTTCTTCTGTTCAAAATGCAGATGGGCATACTCCGAATCAAGGGGCCAAACGAAGACGGTATGACCCTAAGGGAGTCCCCAAGGTTCATGTAGTGGCGGAAGATGAGGAAGAAGACAGTTATTTGAAGTTGAAAAAATCTCACCCTGCCGGCAAGCGGCATACGAGCTCGGAGACTGAGAAATATGAATCTCCTGCTGCTGGACGCTTGGAAAATCTTCTAGAAACTGTGCCGCGGCAACGACCAATACTGAACTCCCCGTTTCGAAACTCTGTAGGTTCGGATAACGTACCTCCCGGAACCCCAAGTAAAACAGGGCAAAGCTCTATAACACCCCAAAAACCTCGGTCCCGGATCATCGCGGAGTGTATCCCATCACCGCGACAACCCCTCCCCCCAATTTCGAGAAATTTACGCAGTTCTTCAGATCACCAACAACCTCGAACCAACGATGAGGTGCTACCAGAGGATGAGCCATTTCGAGCAAGGCCTCTCCATCGACTCGGGTTTGAACATTTCAAACTCAACCCAGAAAGAAATCAGGGACTCGATTATGCATTCGACGAGGTAGTTCGCAGAAAGGACCTGAGGCGTTGTCTTCCAGCCTGTATCCGTCCAGAATGCTGCGGAAAAGGCTTCCGCACCCTGGCGAAGCTCAAGGGATTCGCAACAGCTGGTAATATCGATGCGTCATTGGAGTACTTAGACCAGGAGGACCGAGAGGTGCTGGATGAATACCTGGGCGACAATAGAGTCGTCTTAGAGACAACGACGGAGAAGGAGCTGCGGGAGTTACTGCTAGATGCACGAACGAGATATCTTGCCAATAAGTTTGGCAAACACCGACACGCCCATGAGCGAGCGCGTTCGCCGCCTGGGTTCTGGCGCACGGATATGCCTAGCACTCAAGAGCTAGATCGTGATCGGGAGGATGCGAAAAAGGCTGAGCAAGAGAAATTGGCTGAAAGGCATAAGGAGGCGATGAGGCCAGGGGGGATATGGAGGTTTGCTGATGAATAGGTAAACCGCAAAATGTAGTTATCTATCAATATATTCCTCTCTTATATTTACTGTCTGGTGGTTTTCATTGCAATCTCTGCAAAGCCGGATATCGCCCGCAAGAACTTAGTTATTTAAAAATAGATCTTAGATATATCTCCTCTATTATACGGCGATGATGTTGTGTCCTCATTTACATAAGCTACTTCTAGAATATTTTATCTTTAGGATTTTCGTTGAGTCAAAGTTAAAACATACCGTCTCTGACGTTCCTCGAATGCCTCGGCATCTATTGGCAGCGCGTCACGTGGAATCGCGACCCAGGTCGAGCTCCAACCCCAAAACCAGCCGCAAACCACGAGGATAGGACGAGGTCTGCTTCAACGCTTTATTATCGTATTGCGATGGAGCCTTTAAAGAAAGATCGCGGTCGGTTACCACCGGATTCATCTCACCCGAGGAAGCTGAGAATGATGTATGAAGACTTTGTAACCAGGAATTCCAGCTCTATCAGCCAAATCGAATCCACCCTCAGATCGTTGACATATATAATTCCAGGTAGGGTTCCATCATATCCTCTATTGACATGGCAGATACATCTATGTTCTAGACGAACGTTGGCTAATCCGTCATTTTCTCTACTAGGACGTTTTCGAGAATCTGAGCTTGCTTCAGAGTCCCGTAAGTCAGAAAGCTACACGCAACGTTTTTCGACCAGATTCACCATCGTTAAGGGTATCTAGTAACTAAATATACGCAGTTCATTCCGGCGTCCAACTTCTATCATTGTATCATGATTCCCTCGTTTCACGCGTTGTTTCCCAGCTTCCTGCCACCATTACGCGTCCTAACCCTACACCTCATGCACGATATACCAAATACTGGTCATTGCGCTCCTCACTTTACCAGCGGGTAGCTTTAACTCTACAGATGATCCAATATACGGAATTACTTTGGGAAATGATAGCGCGCCGTCGCGGGGAGAAAATCCGTTGGCGCGTTGTCGTGTTTATCGAAGGCGTGAAGGCATTATGCCGATTGGTGTTACTCCGCATAACGAATTCTAGACCGTTGGTTTCCCCACCTTTGCCGGAGAGAGATATAGACCCAAGAAACCCGGAAGAGGAGGAACTCGTCAACTCATGTGATGGCGGGTCGTCCTATCTTAGCGAAGGAGGGTCATCTTCGGAGTTCAGTTGGCCGATGCCAAGGACAGGCCTATCACTACCGATTTTACCAGATGTTAGTGACCTTTCAAACTATCTCATATCCAGAGTCCTTACTGCCGATGATATAAAACCTCCGAAAACTCTCCTTCATCGAGTCTCCGGGCAGGGACAACTCGCCGAGGTGTTATATATCCTTCGCCCTCTTATCTACGCACTGGCGCTACAGAAATGGCGAGACAAAAAGAAGAGCTGGACGCCTTGGCTTATTGGATTTGGCATGGAGTATGGATGCAGGCAGCTCGCAAAGAAAGATTTCCGACAAAGGGTTGCGGGTGGTTTACGGGCCTTAACAGCACTTGAGAGGGAGGAGCTTCAGAAACGGGGTTGGGCAATGAGTTGGTGGGTGATGAGGGGCGCGTTTTATGAAAATATTACGAAGTATGTTTTTGTCTTTTCATTCCCATCGAGCCGCAACACTTGAAATTGTTTAACATATAGGGATGCTAACTATGCTGTTTGCGCAGGGTTTGGCTGCAGAGTTTCGTCAAGAGGCTAGAAAACAAACCATTGGTTGGACTGATTGGGAGTATTGTGGAAGACTACCAATATCTCTGGGATACTTACTACTTCTCGACGACGACTCTCTGATCAGAGGAAACTTGCCTTTGTAATTTAAGCGTTTGGGTTTTTAACTTTCTTATTTATAGTTACCCCCCCCCCCCCCCCCCTTTTTTTTTTTTTTTTTTTTTTAAACCAATTAAAGGGTGGGGTAAGTGGGGATTATATGGAAATATTCCAATGGGCTGGAAGCCGGGGGATGACATTATTCACAAAGGAGGGGGACATTTTAAGGGCTTTTCTGTCTTGGCAGGGTCCTTACATCATCATTTGGAGCAACCTTAAAGTCTGTTGTTTAGGCGATATATATCTTAATTTCCCTTTTGGTGTTTCAAAATATTTCCTGAGGCTTCTGGCCGTACCAATCTCGTAATTCGTCATTTTCCTCATTATTGGTACCAGTTACCGAAAACGAGAAGAAATCAGTTAACCGTTGCGTCTCGTCATCTTCCTCAACAGGCCAATCCACTTTGATACTTGTTTTCGATTCCAGTAGTTCCCTCGCAGTCCCCCAGCTAAATCGACATTCGAGCCCCCATCCGAATAGTTTGTCCATATCATTTTTGAGCCACCCAACACATTTAGAGTCGGAAGGATAGCCGCTACCCCAGCCTTCACCGCTTCTCTCTGGCTCCATAGCATTGCAATGCTTCATCATAGACCTATAACATATCTCCAACGCCACGTCTCTCGTAACTTTTGCACAGACGCTTGCTGCACTGACAGAGGGATAAAGCGAATCTGCCTTTTTTGCCACCGTAATCTTTAGAGAAGGGAATATCTGCTCTAGTTTCCTCTGGTATGCTTCTGGATTCCCGATAGTATCGATATAAACCTCTTTCACATTAATTCCCCTCTCCTGGACAATGCAGCGGATGAGCTCTGTTGTCGCATCCATGGCTTGTGCGTTCAGATTATAATTTCTTGTGCCCGGTCGAAGCATTCCCGCAGCTATGTCTCGAGCAGACATCACCTTCACCCCCCAGCCGCATGATGAGCTTAGAGAATTGCCAGGCGTAGAGAGCTGGCGCATAAGGCTTGATCGGACTTCAGGAGTTAGGACTTTGCTATCATCGAAGTGATACTCTTCCGCTAGGAGGGAGTGGTGGAGTGGTAGGGGAAGGTAGAATGCGCTGTAAACCATTGGACCCAGAACGGGGCCCCTCCCAGCTTCGTCAACACCAAGGACGCATGGGGTTGGTTCATTTGAGCCATTTGAGGATGTTAAGGATGTGGATGGGGCTATGGCCGGTGGACATGAGGAGTAATGTGCATAGGATTCTCCAGCAATAAGGGTAGAGGCGTGAATTGACGAGGGTACAAAGGGTATGCTGCCGCCGGATTCATGCCCATCCATTGTGGG